TCCTGAATCCGCACACGCTCCTAACACATATTTCTGACGCCTCTTTGCTTTCGCTTCTCATCGTCTCTACCACCTCCGTGATCTTTCTTCGATTTTCTGTTATATGTCTCGTTCCAGCCCATTTTTCTAAACGTCTGTTTTTGTTTCGTTTCGCCCCAATTTCCGAATCATTCGCGCATTTCATGTCGAACTTCATTGCTGTTAACGTCGCACTGTTTCAAGAGATGTCGTCGGTCGACTACGAGACCGACACGCTCACCTGCGCGAGGACGAACCGAGTGGCCAGCCAGCGATTCTACAACCAAGTAATGGCGGTGAGTCTCTTCGCGAAATTCACCTTCCGAGCTGTAATTACCGGTGTGTCTGCCTTACTTGACGCGCGCGCGCGGCCCTTTCGCTTATCGAGACACTCTCTACTCTGTAATGTTGCGCGCGCAAGGGCAGACAGTGCGCGATGTTGGGAGCAAGGACACCATTAGATCATCTAGGGATAATCTAATGTCATGCACTGTATACCAATCTCATTAGTACGCTTGCATGAATACAATAGCTTTGAGCCTATAACTGTAATTCATAAAGCGTCTCTGCGGTGAAGACAACACTTGCGCGTAGAGTACGGCCATGGAGCCCAATTCGAAAACGTATGCTTTGTGGACATTTTTCGCACAAGAGTGTCGTCGGCGTCGCAAGGACAAGTAAAGAAACGGATACCGACGTGATGCGCCACCGCCTGGGCTACTGGTCGTAACAGTGCATGCAAGAGCATGTGCGAAAGGATCAGTTGTCTGCAGGGTCGGTACCTCGATTTCAATCTACCAGACTAACTTTCCCTGAACGCAAGGACATTTCTCCAAAAGAAACTGACAGTTAAACAGGAGAATCAATTCGTATGAGAAGTCGTTTGCGGTTAGATAGTAAAAATGAGCGAGAGCAAAAAGTGATTGAAGGCGAGCTAGTCGTTGTAAAAACATGCCCGTTTACGAGTTCTTTGGCTCTCTCGTAACTACTTTTATCACGGAGCTTAACATATACTCACATAGAGACGGGTTCCATTATACGACAGAGATTTTTTGGTAAAAGCTCCGCGCTACAATCAGTTGTAGTTCCGTGTGTATACTGTCGAGTAGGTTCCCTCGCTAATGTGTGCATTTGCAGAATTTCCGGTATGGAGTTTTCCGCGGGGTCTAGATATTGTTTTTTCTCGTGATCGTTCTTGCTCAAGCGCAACAGTGTTGAAGAAACATGAGTGTTTACATATTGTACACTTTTGACCTGAAAGAACTGCGTTCTATCCCCAACATTTTTCAAATTGTGCAATTGCACACATTGGCGAAAAACCTGCCTGAGTGTAGCTATATGCTCCGGCTCGTTAATTGTGATGAAATCTCCGCGACGTTTTGGATTGTGCTTTTGCAAAAATTATAAAAATTCTTTTTTATTTTTTTAATTTTCAAAAATTTCCTTACTATTACGCGTCAACCCTTCCATAAATGAATCAAATAAACGAGATGGTTTCTGTTCGGAAATCAACTTTTTCTATCTTTATCGATCTCACATTTCTTACAGCCAACCGGAAACATTTTTGCGCTGCTTACAAGGGACGAAGATTTATGATGGCAGATCACCGACTAAAATCGGATCTTGAGACTGATTATATCTCGCTTTTAACGAAGCCGGTCTTGCATAGATAGAGCCCGTAAATTTTATTAAGACACTACCGGATGATTCATGAAGTTTACAAAGCGCGTGATTTTGTCCTAAAGTGGTCAACAGCCTTCTTTTTCATATTTCAAACAACATAAAACCTAGGACGAGGATATTTTTGGAAGTGTGATTCATTATATATACACTTTGTCTGACTCATTAGTGACCTCGTCCTCTTGTTTCGTTTGTTATTCTTCAATGCAAAAAAAGGCAAATGATATATGTGTACACATTTGATGAGCAAAAACATCTAAATTGTTATTTTAGACAGGTTTGCAAGACTCTACTTATAATTTTATTCTATGTTTAATTGATTGATATTCAGCTATATAATCATCTGTAATTAATCTGTTACTGCCAAATTCAAAATTCAAAGTAATCTGCAAGATCTTTCTACTTCATTCGATTGCAACTGCCCGAAAATGGTTTGTGATATTTTCAAAATTTGTATGCATTTTGAATTTTAACTATCTTTTTCCCTTGTAAATTTAAATCAAGTTCATGAACCGTACAAAGAATTTGAATTCGAGTTTGTTTCTCAATCTTTTGTTTGTAAGCTGCGAAAACTCTGCAAATTTTCCAACAAAATTTTTGGAAAACGTAGCTGACGTCGCCCCTTTCATTCTATTCCTTGTCACCTTGCCCCCTCCACTCAATATAAATTTTCTACGAATGCCACTGCTGCAAATTATGGTATTGTCTGCTGTATTTCAAAACAGACATATTTCGAATTTTAAAATTGACAAAAAATTGGATGTTAGTCGTATTTGAAATTGAAGCCAAACTGTTTGTAGAAATCAAAACGCCAGTAGTATTTCCACCTCAATTTACAGCATCACCACCTCAGATTACTTATTAATAATAAAAAATTATGTGAGGAGCGGGTAGTTCTGTTCAAACTAGAAACTCTTATCGTCAAATATGCCCTATACCTGAACTTGTAATCATCATAGTATCTTTGACCATATCATCCTGTTCATTGATAAAAATCGCAGTCTTTGCACTTTTTACATCGGAAACAAGTCAACCATAGCGTCATTGATTCCCGCCACCCCATTAATATTCAACAAAATATTTTTCGTGACCCGCAGCTGCCTGTCGCCATGTTCTTGTCCCATTTCGTCGTTCGATCGATGCTTTGTTCTGAAATGCGTTTTCACCCGGCTATTTCTAACATAATAAAATTCAATTAGGCGTTTTAATGCATGCATCTCCCAGCGACCCTCTTTTGCTCGTTGAGTGTTCGAATTCCTGCGGGCGACATACGGTAAACAACGTTGATGAACTAGTTTCACAAATTTGTACGATTTAGCCGTTTCTTGTCGATTTGAATAGATCAGCAGGTAATTGTACCAAAGGCAGTGTTCAACTAATTCATGATCTCGACTGAACAGAAAAAAGAAATAAATATCAAACGAGCCGTTAACTTGGAGGCATTGAATTCCATCCAGAAGCTTCCGAAAATATCGTCTACCTGGGTCTCTATTTGTACGGTGATCCTAAAAAAAAGTTAGAATCTGGATCACATCAATGCATGTATATACTACTTGCCACATCTGACTGATTCTGGTGCAAATGCCCTCATTTTCGAATTTTGGTTAATAATACAAAATCCTGCGTAAAAAGTAAGTATTAATTGTTTTTCGATTAGATCAGATTACGACTAGACCTTTGCACATAATTATGGTAGAGACATTTGTAACCCGTAAGTGGGCATGCACATTACGCGCGGCTCTTCACGACATCTTTGCAGTAAAAGATTAGCAGAACGTTCTAGTATCTGAAAATTGAAAGATGGCTATTTCTGCTTGGCATTCGGCATTATATGAGTAAAGTGGAAAAGAAAGACAGAGAGAAAGCCCTCAATCTTCAGGAACTAGCTTCTCAAGCTTGAGAGTACAAAAGTCGTGGAATGCCGCGCTTGATGTGCAATGCACAGAATTGAGTTGCAGATGACTTAGGTAGGTGCCAGAGTAAGCGAATATTTTGTTCAGCTTCGTTCAGCTGCAGAAGGCGCGCATAATTAATGTCTGCTGCATAATTCTACTGCTGCCAAGGCCTGCTTCAGCTGCAGGTCCCGCGCAGAATCAACGTTAATTCTGTTAGCTGCAAAAGGCGCACAGAATTAATGTCTGCTGCATAATCTCTACTGCTGCCAAGGCCTGCTTCAGCTGCAGGTCCCGCGCAGAATCAACGTTAATTCTGTGCGCCTTTTGCAGCTGAACGAAATACTCTGACATTCGGTCCGTACGGCGCGCGCGTGCTCCCCGTGCGGCGCCTTGTAGTGCGAGGGGGCCGAACGCTCCGTGCGCGCGGGCCGAACGATGAATGCGCGCGGGCCGAACGGTGGATGTGCGAGGGCCGCACGGTGAATGCGCGCGGGCCGCACGGTATCGAAAGCGCTCCGTCCGCAAGCTACTAGAGAATAAGTCTCTTTCATAGATCTTCTTTTTCTTCTTCCGTCGTGCCGTGAGCATTCTCAACTTCACAGTCCAAAAAAATTCCGAATTCAAAAAATTCGAAAATTTGAGTTTGAATTCACGGAATTCAAAATTCAAATTCAGCACCCATTCGGGACGCTGTCGGGGGATAACCCCCGTAGAAGTAAAAAACTTCTTATGTTCCTGCGATTACTCAAATACCAAGAAATGATACCAAGTCAGCTCCACAAGTGATGGATCAGCCTAATCATAGCGTCGTACCTCACGCGGGTACCTATTACGCTTATAGCGTGTGAGAATTGGAGGCGCGCGGGCGGCACGGGGAGAATATATTGCGCGCGGGCCGTACGCTAAGGATACAAGGCGCGCGGGCCGCACGGTACATGACCCCGCCCGTAAATCTAGGCGCGCGGGCCGCACTGCTGGCCATTAACAAGCGCGCGCCGCACGCACCGAAAGTCAGAGTATTCGCTTACTCTGGCACCTACCTTACTGCACTTGCAAATTCTGCGCGAATGGAATGTAGTGCAAGTGCAACCAGGTCAGGATGTTTGGCGGCAAACCTAAAATATTCCATACTGCTATGTAAACAAAAGGGATTTGGAAGGTATGTTTTTGCTTGAGAAAAGGGTTCATGTTGCATTTGTTCATCAATAACTCCCAGATCTTTTTAAATACAATCATCTTCATCGTCCTATGGCTGAGTAAGTGAATGCTTGTTGTTTTGAGACCCATACACGAGATCTCTTTTTCGTTTTGCGACCCTTGAAGTGGTTAGCCGTGCAAATGATACCGAAGCTTCTCGGCTTTTTTCGCCCACACTTCAAGCCTCCCCTACCCGATGAAGTCTGAAGAGGTGTGTGGGTTGCCTGGTGCATTCGTGCGTTAATTGCCATGGTATGCGTTGCGAAGAGGCGGGTCTGACCTTAGCGCCACTGAGACCCAACAAAGGCTCTTCGCCAACGCACACCATCTGTCCTTCTCATTTTATATTTAAAACCCGGTTCGCCTCTCGTTTGCAGCAAGCAAAGCTAAGCTTTTGGCAAACATTAAGCAGAGCGGTCATGAAGGTTCGTTCTTTTTTACACCATTTGTTCTCTTTTGTTCCACTTACATTTTTTTGGAAACCTTTATGGTATTATATTGATTTTCTCTCTGCGTTAGATCTCATTGTCAGTAAGCCAACGGATCTGGGGACTGGGTTTGAGAGGTCGTTTGATATGTTCCAATGACTTTTGACATTTCTGGTGTAGATCAGATTTCTCTTTTATTTGTTTCGACTTGAGTCTTTTTAATTTCGAAAAAGCTCTGTGCTTACTATCATATGTATCATCGGCTCCCAGTTCCTTATCGAGGTGGGTTGGCAACTTCTTGATTTTTAGGATAAACTTGTTAAACTCCACGTTATAGCATTGCATTTCGTACTCTCGTCAAGTTTATCCTTAAAATCAGGGAAGTCCGCAACCCGCCACATTCTGGGAGCCAATCATACTAATATGAACAAGGACTATAGTGTTCTATCGTTTCATTTTTATTGAAGTGCGGTAGTCGATTTTCGTTACTAAGAGTTTTGAACCAACTTAGAGAGTAAAAATTGGAGGTGAAGATTAAACATAAAGGCTAACATAGAATGTTCTTACGCGTTAAAAGCGAATTTGTCAGTCTCATAGATAATTTATACAAAAAACCGTAAAACCCATTGACTTCCGCGTTCTGCTCTTTATGCTAATTTTCTTCATTAAATTTACATATGCAATTTGTTTTGACGTCAGCATAAACTAAATATTTTTGCGTTTGATTTACATGTAAGGAGATATTCAAACGCTACAGGTGCGTTCGATTGTAGCCGAGCCTCGACGGCCTCGCTGAGTCATCGAAATTCCTGAGCGCTTACGTCACCCAAGCTGGTTCTGTGTTCACAGTCCCAATTGCTGCTGCGCGCGTATCGATGACAATATGAAACTCAAACAGCCTTAGATCTTATTGAATAACTGTTGCACTTGTGCAGTGCCCGTATTTTTTGTGCGTTCTCATTTGAAGGGCCCGCTCGTAAGACCTTTTGTTGAATGGTGGTACGGATTCGCATCGAGTCACTTCCACCTCAATGCATTCTCTTTTGACAACGATCCCCATCTAGATAGTCGATTTGGTGTCTTTCTTGAATAGAATCGTTGAACAATTTCTTGTGAAGCAAACCTCAACTCCTTGTCTTGAGCCAAAGAAGCTTCTAGTTTATTTTATTATTTTTATCATTACTTCTTCTAGCTGCTCTTCCAATTTTTTGAATTTCTGCTACTCAAAGCATCAAGCAAATTTATCAGCGAAACTACTCTGCGTTTGATTCTTCTGCGACTAGGAGTCCATTCAATTCCCGTTTCATTTAATCTAAATACTGGAAATATTGCTTGAAGATTTTATTTTTGAGGTATCTGCAATAACCAGAACATTTTCAGCCGTCACGAAATTTTTTACCGCAAGATATCCCTGTTATGCTTCATCGCAGTCCGTCCGGTGCTAAGCGAAAGATTCGTCAACGAAGAGAAGAACAGTTAGTCTAATTTTCAATTGACCCTGCAGCCATTGATTTCATTTTTTTGCAGAGGATCTCGCCCGTCGCCTTTCCTCGCAGCCTCTTCACCCAGTCCCTCTACGCCAACTTCGGCTCCTGATGAAAGTAACTACCGGTCGCTAATCGAATCCGGTGCTTACCAATCCATATTGCCGGAGTTCGACTCTTCATTTGTTCCAGTACCACAGCCGAGGTGAGCGCGTCAAAGCATGAAACTTCCTCTTTGTTGCGCATTTTGCTGATATGTATCGTGTTTTGCACACCTGCATCGTTCTCGCTTTGTCGCAAAACTTCTCCGCCTGCTTGCGCTCGTCTTGTACATTTGCGAAACACCATTTACGACATTTCTGCGCAAGGAATGTGCGGAATTTGCGACGTGTGGTGCGCGCGGCCGATAACAGACTCGCGCAGTGGCGTAGTACCCAAATACCTCTATAATGGAAGTGCTTATCTTGTTGATCAATGCGACTGCTTCAAATTTCGCCGGCTATAGCTGATTTATTGTAGTTTGGCATGTTCTTATTCTCCTTTTGTCTTTTCTGAATCCATTGGGTTGGCATCTAACTTTGCAACTATATTCACATCTTTTCTCTTTTTGAATGTGGCGCATTCTTCCTGAGAAATTGCAGATGAGGAATGAACTACACAAATGCGGACTGTTTGGCCTTTGGTAGCGAAGTTGTGGTGAATTTCGAAGTTTTACTAGTCAAAAAAACAAAAATAAGCCGTTTACAGCCTGTATCAAACGCATTGTTCCAAACCTGTACATAGATAATTGCTAGTTAAACCTCCATCATATGTGCTCGGCTTGGTGTGTCCAGTTCAAACTGCGAACACATCAATTTTTGTTTTCAGTCTAGTGAAATTTCGAGTTTGATCTGCTTTTGGAAAATTCATGAATTCTTCGCTACCAAAAAATCAATCAGTTTGCGCACATTTGTGGTTCACTACATCAAAAATGAGCGTGCCACAATTATGAAAAGAAATGTAATTAGTTGCGAAACTTAGGCTCCAAGCTAATATTTTTCTTGAAATTTTATTTCATACTTAAACTGTGGTGTAGTACATATCGTCTTTCTGCAGTTCCATACTTGTTATTTTTCTCTCGATTTTCCCTTCTATCGAACCTATCCCGATCGGGATCATTACAGTGTCTCATCATCTCAAGGTCTACTTTTGCTTTCGCGCTCATCTCCCGAATGTCTTATGGCCAAAGTGATCCATATCTCTCGAAATTGATTGCAGCTGATGGTTAGCTGATTTCCATCTGATCTTATGTCGCAGTGCGGCGCAGTTCAGAATGTAGATTCATACATGTGTCAGCACGCCCTCCCCTCCTCCGTTTTCCTTAGAACTGTATCACCATTGTATCACCAGTCGTATGAGCTAAAGATACATTGTTAGCAACCAGTCAGGGCAGTAAGGAGAGAAGATAACTTTGTATGTGCTAAAAGGAAACCAGTTGCTGAAGTTGTCCTCATTCCTTCTCAAAGTACTTTCTCTTCTTTTTGTGCGTCGCCAAGAAACCGACTTTCTACTGCACGAGGATGTGGTTTGAGCCTCTCTCGTAGAGAATGTGGAACGGGCCGCATTTCTCTCCGAAAATATGCGAAGGGTAGAAGGTGGACTGTGTTTGCGCGCGCGTGACACTATTCGGCTTGTTCAGCATAGACACGACCCTTGCTCGACTAGAGGTCGCAAGGCCCCCCGTCTTTGTTCCCTTTTTCATACATTTGCTGAGAGACTTGTCCTTCTGCGACGCGGTTGTTTGAGACAAGCTGTTCTGCCAACAAATGCAGGACTTGAAGTCTTTTTGTTTGAAATGCGGTCTTGTTTTTGGGCCGACCTTGGGTTAGGAATGCTCTTCTGACTAGTTTTTCTTTCCAGTTGTTGTTCCGACACTAGTTTTCGTAGACTTCTTCCACGTTTCTCATTATTTTATTCTCATACCTAACACAAATGTCTCAAATCCCTCTAGCGGTAAAATTCTCCCCCCTTTTTAATTCTTAGAATTCATGACCAAGACTGCGGATAACAGATAAAAGATCAATAGCAGATTGTATGGTTCCGTAGTTCGTCACCCAGTCGGGTCAAAGTCCGCCTTCATACGCAAGTCCGGAATCGTATGACTCTTAGAAACGGGTTCATTCTTAAATTTTACTATGTTGCTAGAATATTATTTCAAATGTTTCCCGACAACCTATTGCCTCTCTTTGTGTAAGACACGTTTGAGAGCAAGCCTGAGCTATGATACTCTTAATCAAATTTCACTACTCAGTGTGTCTCACTCCTTTATCTTGTGGTCATCTTCATTTTTATTTTTATATTTATTCGTACTCGTCGGGCTACGCAATAGCCATCCTGTACTTTGGGTGGTTCCCGATAGTTCCGATGCATCGCGTCATTGCGGGGCCGATGTCCGGTTATTGCTCGTAGCTCGCTTTTTGAAATTCTTCACTCCGAATTTATTGAAAAAGTCGTATGTCCACTTGAGCCAGCGCGTGTGCGAACATCGTTTTTGGAGCAGAAACGCCACGGCGATTTTCTGAGATCCAACATCGTCCATAACCTACGCGCACTCTCCTATGCTAGAGTACCTGTTCCATTCCAGAGAAGCATTTGTCTCTAAAGTCCTGCACTCTGGCTGACCATTTGTGTGTCTTTCGAGTATGTTGGTATGACATCAAATTCCTTTTTAGGCTAAATTCAACATTCTCGACGTCGATGAGTTCGTTAGATATCACCAACACTTCTATATCAAGCAGTTCAACTCCACCGCCTCCTCCGCATTCCAAACCTACCGTTGAGGTGGGTAATCACCAACTCTAAATGCCTTTCCATGTGTTAATCTTACTAAAAGCTAAGTAGAGACGCGTGCGTATGCTCTTAAGTTCCGCAAAACGAGGTGACTTTTTGAAAAATCTAGCGAAAAAAAAACCGAAGTGTTTAGTCAAAACATATTGACACTAGAGCTAAACCAACGTCCAGCTTAACGTCGTTCAAACAAACATGCACTTTGGTTTTTTTATGCAGGCGCTAATTCTTGCAAGCGAATTAGCCTTTGAGATCATTTCAGAGGGCTATGCTTCTTCTCTGTACCCTAGGTATTCTTTTGAGCATGTTTATCTGCACTGTGTTACTACGAAGTCAGGACGTAAGCGATTTTGTTATCATTTTTGAGGACTTTTAATTAAGAAGGAAAATATTGGAAAAATGGTCCCATTAGATATTCGCGGAATTTTTGATTTTATTGTTGGCTCAGCGAGAGGTAACGCGTATGCGCTGTCTAGGGAAATGCAAACATATGAGTTATACCCTCTTGTGAAAGAATCCTTCATCGTGAAGGTTTGTAGGCAAATAAAGCTAGGAACGTTTCCACATCGTATTTTTTACTGCACCATGTGTGGAGTACTACGATCATGAGTCACTCACTCTACAGGGCCGCAAAGTATGACTGGTCTGATTTATTGCATTATCTCAATTTCCAATACTTACTTACCTAATAAGTCGTATATGATTGACTTTTGTACTTCAGGTACATCCAATGCCCAGTGAAGAACGGGTTGTCCATGATATAGAAATTAAAAAGGAGAAACCAGCAGTGCCAGCAAAGCCGAAGAATCTGAAAATTGATCACTTAAATAGGTACGCCTGCATTCTTTAGATAAGAGTATTGTTCATGTGTCACGAATACTCTTTCGTATGTGATTCGCTATGCAGACTACGTCTGAAATCACGTCTTTTTCGGAAGAAACTTTGTACGTATATTGGTGTTTCTTCCTTGATTTTTAGATAATTTGCATAGATGCAATCCTCATTTCAGATCAACAAGCATGGGTTCGTTGGCCTCCCCAGTATCTCACACCACTTCAACTTTCTTGAATAATTTGATTGGTTCCCCATCACTAATCAGTCTACAGCAAGGGTACAACTCCTCTGATATAGCAGAGCTAGAATCTCGAGAATTGAGGAAAATGGATGAGAAGAGAATAGAGGTAAGATCCTGTCACATTTTCTTTCCTTTAGTCCTTTTCTGCCTTTTTGAATCTCATTTCTTGCGTTAAAGCCGTTTTTTTTCTGGCTCTTTTGCTTAACCTAGAGCGCAGTATGAGAAAAAAATATACCATCCTCGTAGAAGCTTCACATTAATTTTCGAATTTTTTTAGTCGATTGGTTCTGTGAATCGGCGACTATGTGGCTATGAGGATGAGAGGAGTGCCATAGGAGATGATATGGCTACGAACGAACGAAATGGAGAGTATCTTCTCAGTATTATTGAGAAACACGATCCATCTTTAGCCAACAAGGTTCTTTGCAAGTTTCGATATTAATTCAGTGCAACGAGTATCATTCCTATCCTTTACAGGTCCGGCGACATCTTGAGCATTTCAAAGAACTCGTACGTTTCGAAATGAAGTTGCGTTGCCTTATGACTAAAGTGGTTGAACATATCCGCAATGGAGGAGATCAGGTATTTGAAATTGCTCTTGATTTCTGTCTTACATTTTATAGAAATTCTTTCTAGACGGAGGCGCTATTAGAGGAGGCACGACTCCGGCGACGGCTCGCTGACGTGAACTTCCTTCGACTAACCTACACTCGTCGAGAACGGGATTTAGAGTGTGCCATGGTAGGCATCTTCTTATTTTCTTGAATTCTCTATTTTCAATTTCTGGCTGCACTTTAAGAACATGGTGAAGCTTGTTTTTTGATACCGTAGCAGTCTTAGCAAATCAAGTGGATATTTGATAGCAATGGTAGCAATGTCTTTTGAGTAGAAGTGGACAAGTTTCCTACTCAATGACAGGGTGTGCCTAGCTTTTTTTAGCGTTTTGGTCCATATTTCTGCCTATACCCTCTTTTCTTCTTTCGAAATGAGTGGTGATATTATCACACATATCACCCATTTTTGAGAAATTTTGCGAGCTCTGTTACATTATATTTTTAGGCAAGTGAAATGCGGGGTTTTTGTATGATAAGCATATTCGGTGCTTTTTTATTGACGTCGCGTTTGCTAGTCTCGTAAAGCTGCTTAGAAATTTTTTTTGATGCGCTTTTTCTTGATTGCGCAAATTGGGTGAATAATTGGTCAATCCCACACACACAGACGAATATCGCCCTAAGGATGATAGTTTTTTACTTCACTAAGAATTCTTGATAGATGGATATATATGGCAGTAAGTGGGTAATTTGAGAAAAATTGTGCGCAAGATTCTCGCAAGGCAAGTCCAGAAAGCGGAGAAGCTATTGTCTAGAAGTTCAGAACTTCTTTCACAAATTCTATGCGAATTTTCACCGGCTTTTATCTTTGGCTAGCTACGGAGTGTGGACAAGTCTTACATATAAAAGTATACAGTTTAATGAATTCAACATAGAATTAGTTTCTTGGAGTGGGCAAAACATGGGTCTAAATATGGCCGTAGAGCACATATACTCCTAAGTTTTGCGCCCTTGTCTTTTATAACAATGTCTAGAACGCAAGAACTCTTATCGACTGCCAAATTTCCTGAATCATTTGGTCTTTATTGGACAATCGATCATTTTTTTCAAACAAATCACATGCTGTTTTCAGTCTCGAATTTTCGAGGAGGAAGAGAGCAGACAATGGCATTTCTACAAAGACACCATGGTTCAGTTGATTCAAAGCGAGGAGCAGGTGCGAGATAGTATCGTGGACTCGAAGCGACATCTCAGATCACTGCATTATTCGCGGCCGAATGTGTGAAATATCCCTCACCAGAATGTGACTGTATAGTTTGAGAGATTTGTACATTTCGACCATATGGGTGTTAGATAGAAATGACCAATGTCAAATAACGTTCCCTTTCACTTCACTTCTTACCATTGGGTGTCCCATTTGCATTGTCGTTTTATTGCTCACATTGCAGCCTCTTTTCCCATTGTTCACTTTCATTTGTCAAGTTTCATGTGATTACCATACTGATCAGTTTTATATTCTGAGTGGCATATTTGAGTCTCACAGCCAAGCAGAACTACAGTAGTATTATTAGGAAGTAAATGTTTGAGAAGTACCGTTTTATGAGTTAGAAACTCTTATTGTTTATGTGAATCTTAGAGATCATAAAGATAAGCAATCATTCCTATCGCACCGTGATATACTTCCAGCAAGTATGCGATAGTATCTTTCAAATAAATAGTACAAAACTCGTGTTGGAGTAACAAGCAACAATAAAAAAGTGCTTGGAGCGAAGTTGAGCCCCTCGTCCACGACTTTTTCAAGAGTGATGTGCCCTTATTCGTCAAAGTGGTTTTTGCACATGACACCCTTATCACTAGAAGCGTTTTTGAACATTGATTCCAATTTTGTTTTCCATTACTGCAAAACGATTTCATGAAAGAAGTTGAGCGTTTAAAAGTCTCAATGAGTCATAGTTGGCACAGAAATAACGAAAGGCTGTATAGAAACACCTGAAAGTGGTAAATCAATGTTGTGTCAAGTATACTGATTACGAGAAAGGAATACAGCCAGTGGAAATCCACTTAGGAGGTGTTTTTGTGGAGCTTTTCGCTAATTTCATGCCACTTGTGCTTGACAAATTTGGACATTCAAACGGTTATAACTTCTTTCGGAGAAATGTTTCGAAGAAGAGGAAAGCAGATTTGAAATCAGCATTCAAGGACGCGTTTAGTAATATAGGTGTCATTCGGAGAGACCACTTCGACCAATAATGCTTCCCTTGTAAGTTTACAGATATCTTAACTTGTTTTGGCACCATATATGTGGACACTGGTTTTTGTTTTTATTTTCGGAGATAGATTCAGTCAGCCGGTATTTTGATATGTGAACACTCATGCAATTCAAAGGTAATTCACTGGATTGAAAGAGGATATTTTTTTGCATCAATTGGTTTATGTTTGAATATGACAACGACTACTGGAAATATGAAATAGCGAAGTAGTCGAATAACCAGTACAGATGCTGTCTGTTTTGATTTTCCTGTTTTGGTGAAGAGTGTATGTGGATTTAGAGCTCATTTAACTCGGCGCTCAAAACAATACGCTGCGATAAGCTTCAGCTAAGGATAAATTTCATCTGGCGACTTCGCAAGTGCAAGACCAGTATGGATCGACATGTGTTAGGCTGGAGATAAGTCTTGCACCAAATCAAATCATCCCACAATAAGTCACATTCCTTCTGCATTCTTCATAGGATGCCACACAGGGCCCGGCACAAATCGTCTGGAAGCAGCCTGGACTTCGTTTTTGAAGCATAAAGCAAAGGAGATATTGTTTTTGACGAGTCGGGGCCAAACATCAGAAATAAGCGCCATTGGCTTTTTGGTCAGGTTATTGCACGATTGACACGCTCAATCGTGTATGGCGAGAAGTGCGCGCGATTTGAAAGCAAGGCTAAAATAAGCAAATTGCTTGTTTACAGCGCACACAGAACCATATGATACCAAAATTGATATGCACATAGAGTATTATTTGCAGAAGAATTAGCAAGAAGATTTGAAAACTTATGTGAAGCTACCTTTTCAGAATCAGTTCGTCTCCAGACGGTCACCAGACAATCTGAGATCGTCTGGAGCATATATTTCTGTCACTTCACATAAGTTTCGATTTTTCCAACATGGACGGGTTCCCCGATCAAAAATCTATCCCTGAGCATAAAGACATTTTCATTTCATTGCCTTTCCTTTGTTTTTTGCCTTCATTTCTTCATAAATCGCTTTGTAAATATCGCGCTCCAATGCCAAATTCTTGTGCATGCCAGCTGCAATTTGGATTTTCACTCTTATCTTACGTTTTTTCTTTCAGACTAGTAAATTTCCCTTGTTTTCATCTTCTCCCAAGCAAGTAGGTCAAAAGGACTTCGTAAAACTTTCGAAAGTCAAAGGAAACTTCGTTTTTAAAAACTCTAGAAACCGACTCGTGCGCGGCCCTGATGCGGCACACCATTCGATAAAGGGAAGCAAGCTTTAAAAGCTTGTACTCGAGATTTTGCGCATCTTTGACACATGCGAAGTTTGAAGAGAAAAAGATTGAAATTTTTATTGCACCAGGTAAAGCTTAGCTTCCTCTCTGATCAATTTCCTCCTACCAGTTCGGCCATTCTGAAAACTCATTACCAGAATAAGTAAACATACTGACGAAATTACCTGAAAATAAATGCTGCCAGTTGTAACTACTCGCAGGTAAGTTCAACTTTTTTCGTTCGATACCTATCTTATAGCAAATTTTAGGTTGCTCAGTAGAAAAACTAACTTTTGATAACAACAAAGAAGAATGTGAACGCTAAGTAGTGCGTTTATCCTATTTTGAAATCAGGTATGCAGTGATTCTAGGTGAGTATGATGAGGCAACAATGTTTTATAAACTGCAGGAATTTTTTGCCAACACCTTTATATGCTAAACGAGAAATTAAATCGAAAGCGGTGTTTGCTACACAGAAACATCCTGTAAAAAATTTGTGGTTAAATATTACAAGCATTTGTTTGACAGAAAACAAAGAACAAACCTTGATTCATTGTTTTTTTCTTACTTTTATGCCTTTTCTCTTGCTATAGCTTGCGTCACATTTTGTAACATTACGCAATCACTTCGTCATCTCTGTGCATTTAGCAAAATTATCGCAATATGCGCTTAGTGGTGGTGAAGAACTGTTCTTCTCTACGGTTAAACATTGTCTTATGCTACTTGAATATATTTTTTAGTTCAAAGTGTTTTCTGATAGCTAAGATATGCGTTATCTCTCAGCCACACATTGACGTGCCTGTACATAATTGCGCAGCTTTCCTTTCTTCGAAATTATGATTATAAAGGCATTGAAATTTTTTTCCTGTCATCGCATCCTATATATTCTTCCAACTTGGTTATTTTTCATCTCTATTTCCAAGCGGTAATAACCAAAGATTTAGGGCAAACGAGTTCGCTTTATCTTGTTACCTGTTTATCTGAGTAGACTTTTATGTTAATTACAGGTTGCTCCTGCATTTATTTTATGAAGAATCAGTTCCCAGCTGAGCAGACAGACGAGATCAATGCAATTATTAGCTGCTTCGGGGAGGAGTTTGTGTCATTGGACACGAATGGGGACGAGCTGGCGGGAACTATTCTCGTGGTACTGGAGCCACGATCGCATCCAATAATCATTTCTGTTGATGGCAAAGGTAGCGGCTTAGCATGGATATTCTTTTCACTATATATTCAACTACTTATGCAATTTTATACGCTTTAATGCGTGCCTTGGAAGTCAAAATAAGAGAGTAGGATAACATCTTTTTTCTTTGAAATAAGAATGAGAGAATAAAAAACAGTCAATATCATTTCAGGTCCAATTCGAGTTTGTGCTTAAAAATTAAAAAAAACCAAAATTTTGCCCTAACGTCTCCCAAGATATCAAAAGTTGACGAAGCTACAGACCCGAGCGAGAATAATTAGAGGTGAAAAAACAGTTGGAGCGGATCTCCATCTCAAGATTAGTCTCTGTTGAAATTCAGAGGAGCGTTAGTTAATGCTTCAAATGGATAAATGCTTTATACTCTTTTGGTATATGGGAAGTGGTTATCAATTCAAAATCTAGAACGCACCTGCTGACGTGTATATTTTTGGCTTTAGGTTTGTGTTGATAATGCACATTAGTCTCTACTCCTAGTTTCGGTATTTGTTATTGGTAAATTAGTGAACATATTTTTATAGATTATGGGCGATTTGAAACGACTCAGTTATCTCCCGTGGAACTGCGGTTCCGCCTTCCTGCTGAGTACCCAGCTCAGAAGGCAGTCGTTGACGTAGACTGTCTATGGCTGCCTATTACCCTGGTAAGTACCCCATCCCAGGGACCAATATCTTCACTTTGATCGATTTTCATGACGATGAAAATCGGTATTTAAATGTCTACTTTCTCTCTTTTGGCGGAATTCATGTTGAATAACATGAAGCTTGGATCATTTTCTCAATAATTAGATGATGAGGGATGGTATCGTTGATATTTGAAGCACATCCAAAACCGTGAAAAACGAAGTTGAAGGTGTCGACATCTTATCGCAATCGGAACTAAGCATTAGTTTTTATGGATATGCTAAATCTAAAAAGGAAATCTTCATTGTAAGCAGGAGATTTTGGAAAAATTTGACAAACTTTTAATACAGCGAATAAGGCAAATTTTCTCGGTGATAAATGGATGAAAATCTCTGTTTTCCTAGATTCTCTAGACTTTCACTACTGACACTCTGGGAAATGCGTCCTCATAAATTTTCAAATATAAAATTATTTGCCTCTCATCGTTGCTTGTACTCTCCTCGTATGGCATTGTTGTCCATTACCACTTTTATCAGAACTCTACCATAATTGAAAAGTCATCTAGTTTGGCACAACGCTGAATAGTAGAAAGTATCATAACTTATAATAACGGGCTAAGGATGTTTACGTGACTTTGTGTGTCTGTCTGTGTGAGAGTGTGTCTGTTACGAAATTCGTAGAGCGTGCTCCAGCCAACCTCCTGGGCCCAAATTTCGCACAGCGCATGCTAGCCGCAAGAAAATCCAACATGCAAAAGCACGAGCAGATTTGTTGAGTGGATCCCTCAGAAATTGCGCGCCAAACGGGTCCACATGGCTTCTTTACCGCAAAATTCGGTCCGTATCACCACTTTTTGCAGAGTCGTGGACGAGTTTGGTAGGCAACTGTGCAAGCGATGGAGTTTAGCCCGAAAAGTGGTCGAAAGTTCACTGCATAACGAAAACGGCGCCAAAAGAATTGGTTGTGTAAATGGTCAATTTGCCAAGGTTCTAGCTAAGCGCTTGAGAAGATTTTCGCACAGAAATGTAGCTCACGGCTACTATTACCTCTTTGGCGACTACCAAGCCATGACAAATCCAAAAACCTATTCAAATTTGCGTTTGTCTTCTTACGAAAAGTTTCATCCACGCGAAATCACCGATCTCACGTGAAAAAACTTTCTAAATGAGTGGTTGTTTACATTTTATTCGTGGTAGTCGGCATAGCGCGGTGAGTTCAGTGCCACGATTCTACGAGAATGAGTAAGGCACATAGATAGTAGAGCCAGTGCGAGCCTCTGCGAAGCAGAGGTGACGCACTGGTAACTTATAATAACGGGCTAAGGGTGTTTACGTGTTTTTGTGTGTGTGTGTGTGTGAGTGTGTCTGTTACGAAATTCGTAGGGCGGGTTCCAGCCAGCGTTCTAAGCCCAAATTTTGCACAGCGCATGCTACCCTCATGGAAGCTCGATATGCAAAAGCACGATTAGATTCGTTGAGTGAATCCCTCAGAAACTGCGTGCCAAACGGGTCCACCTGGCTTCTGTACCGCAAAATTCGGTCGTATCACCACTTTTTGCAGAGTTGTCGATGAGTTTGGTAAGCAAATGTGCGAGCGATAGAGTTTAGCCTGAAAAGTGGTCGAAAGTTTACTACATAATGAAAAAGGCGCTGAAAAGAAGTGGTTGTGTAAATGGTCAATTTGCCAAGGTTCTAGCTAAGCGTTCGAGAAGATTTTCGCACAGAGATGTAGCTCACGGTTACTGTTACGTTTATGGCGACTACCAAGCCATGACAAATCCAGAAACCTATTCAAATTTGCGTTTGTCTTCCTGCGAAAAGTTTCATCCACGCGAAATCACCGATCTCATGTGAAAAGACTTTCTAAATGAATGGTTGTTTACATTTTATCCGTGGTGGTCGGCATAGCGCGGTGAGTTCCAGTGCCACGATTTTACGAGGATGAGTAAGGCACATAAATAGTAGAGCCGGTGCGAGCCTCTGCGAAGCAGAGGTGACGCACTGGTTCGTAATAATGCATTAACTTCCTCGACCTCTTTACTCAACGTGCTAAAATGTTGCGGTTGAATAAAACGCATAGCTACCGTTTGATTGAATGTTCGGGATGCTTTCTACTCGCAATTTTGCATCTGGGATTATGTTTGAGCAAAAGGGGATCAGAGCGATTGAAAAAATCCACAACGCGGAAACAATTTTGCCAAAACTCTGGGAACCTCATTCAGAGAAACACGATGCTCGAGCGCCTCGACGTTATCACTAATGAGAACGTCGGATTCCCTGTGCTATTCTTGTGCTACGAAGATGTGAAGAAGTTGGTGGATGAAACTCCTATCAGCGAGCTGCACTTGACAGAGAACAACCTAGCGAAACAAAAGGTATAACTGTTTGAGTCAAAAATTAGCCATGCAATAAGCTGTAAATTTCAAGGGTGTTACTCCAATCAAATTTCTGGAAATGATTCGGGAAGAATGCGAAAAAGCCGAGAAACTCGAATTCGATGCCCACTGTTACGATTGCGATGTGAGTGCGATTTTATAGGCTCGAACGATTATCCAAAATCGTGTTTAGGTGTGCTTCGAGAATAAAGTAGGCAGCCAATGTGTCCGTTTCTATCCATGTCGTCACACTTTCTGTAAAGACTGTGTCACCGCATACTTCAACGAAAAACTCACTGCTCAGGATGTGAGTTTTATTTTTGCTAATAATTGGTAGTACAAATCTCCATTAGTTCTATGTTAGATCACACCACTTACCTGCCTCGCTGATGGCTGCGACTCAACTGTTCCTCAAAAACTTATCGTTGAACTTTCAGGAAAGGTAAGGTATCTAATTTTCTTGAAACTTTCACTATTCACCCATCCTTAGGATGCTTTTGACCGATATGAGCGAATACTTCTTTCTCGAGTACTGGATACGATGGAAGATTTAGCTGTATGCCCTAGAATTGCATGTCAGAAACCAGCTGCCAGAAGTCAGACGTAAGCAAAGCTACTTTTGTGCGTATCATTTCCAGCTACACTAGCACTTTTTTCTCGTTTTGATATTAGCCGAATTTATCAAATCATAGTGACTAGAATCGGGTGAGGTATGTTTTTGGCATAGCCTACTTGTACTTGTACTGTACTTGCACTTCAAAAATGATCTACGTTGCTCTCTTTGAACATCAGATATAGCTTAAGGTTTACTCTTATGTTTCGCACCAAAGTTTTTGTAATCATGGAATCATTCAAATATCATATAATTGATACCATTCTTATATCAGAAATGAAAACTTGGCGACGTGTTTGGTCTGCGGTCATTCATTTTGCCTCAAATGTCGCAGAACTTTCCATGGACTCCAACCATGCAAGAAGAAATTTGAAATCTCTGGTAAGAACAGCTCCAGTACCTTCTCGCCAATGTTTGATCGAAGATTGTCTGTTTGAGTTTCTGCATTGGTTGACAACGGAGATGGAACCTGGGGATTGCGGGAAGTGACGCTTTTGGAGTATTTGAAAGCGAGTCCGGAAGAAAGAATAGAGATGGGGTGGTGGTACGGCGGAATTGAAAATTTGGAGGTAAGAAAAAACATTGCGGCAGAGAGTATGAAGCAATGTTTTTTGAAGATCGCAAAAAAAAAATCTGGAGAAGGGGCAGAGAGGCCAAATTTCATCTAAATGAATGCTTTGAGTTAACAATCGACTTTCAAAATACTATTGATCTAAGTATTCGCGCATGCTTCAGTTAAACAGTCAAATGATCCACTTTGTAAAGTACATCATCAAATGCAATGAATATGAATTGGGAACCGCTGTTTAGGCTGAAATGGAGGAGGCGATGAGGAAAGCAGATGGTCACAGCTATATGTGGATTCAAGAAAATAGCAAGAAGTGTCCGAAGTGCTCAATACCAATACAGGCAAGTTCTCTTTTACTGACTTTTACTGACTATGTTTGATTGCTTTGCATCCTTTTTCGGAGTTAAATTGACTTTCAGAAGACCGAAGGCTGCAACAAAATGGTGTGCGCCTACTGTAAGACGTTCTTCTGCTACAGATGCGAAGAAGTAATTAACAAAAATGACCCATATTCGCATTTCCAATCTGGGGTCTGCATTGAATTTTTGTCTCGAGGTAGTGTTAATGATAAATTTGTTTATTGCAGAAGTGTGAAGGGCAGTTGTTCGACTACGATGGAGATTGAAAGACTAGCATTACAAACACGAGCAAACGTAAAGAATCGACGCCAGCTATGCCATTGGAGTTTAGTCACGGTCATGCTTTGAGTTTGGTATTCCCTCAGGTTAAGCTAGAATTCGAGTTTCTACCTAAGCCTATCTGTGGAAAATTGAAAGCAATTTTTCAAGCATCTTGAAGCATACTTCATATAGCAAAATAGAGTGAACTCATATTTTCTGAAAATGTTTCGGGTCGAAGATCAGTTCAACAACTTGTTCTTCGCAACCTTGTCTTATATGTGGCTTCTTATTTTTTGACATTTTACAAATCATAATGTAAGCTGCTGTTATGCGCAAGCTCTTTGACTTCTTCAACAACATGAATTCGTGCAATTTCGGAAACAGGTGCTGTTTGTGGATCTACAATTTACTATTAAAAATGAAGCTGTTGTAATTGAGGGTGGAAGCAGGGCCCGGCACAGATGGTTTGGGCTCAAACTGAACTTCGTTTTTGGGACAGCGCACAAGCGGTTACATGACACCGAATATTTGGGCTATGTGTATAAAATATCACGCCAAACTACATTATGCAAAAAGTTCCAGAGGACTATGCGTCCTAGGTTCCGTCCCCGAATTTGTTGGTTTCTAGACCATCACCAAACCAACTGGTTTGGTTCAGAGCATCAATAATAGAGGGTTCGCATGAATTTCAACCCTCTTTGATCTGAACGATGCAACGCTCAAAAATCTATCCTATAGTGAGGAGAACCATTGCCTCTCCTCTTTTTTGAGTCAAACATAGTGTAAATAAACACTTTGAAGAAATGGCGCTCCAGTCACATCCCTGCTAGGGCGTTCTTCACTGGAGACAATTGTTTTTTGTTCTTGTTGTTGTTGTTTCAAATTGTTGTTTTTGTCTTACCAGTCTTACGTCAGTGGGGACTTCAAAAAAATTTGTAAACTCGTGGGAACTTCGTTCTCCAAATCCTTCAAACCAACGCATGCCGGGCCTGAGTGGAGGTCTGGCGCTTCTGAGAATACGAACGAATTTTACTCATTGCGCTGCTGTTCTGCGGAAATCCGTGTTCAAATCGGGATCAGAATTTGTTCAGGCTTCGCGCAATCCAGTAAAATGGATTGCCGAACTCGAATATCATATTTATTCGTTGTCATGAAAAATGAAAAATCACGTGAATGTAACGTAACCTTCCAAAGAGGCAATATCATGACGACATCCTGATCAGCATGTCGAACAACTAGATAAAGCGGTCAAATCTGTAACAATCTGTAATTTCGCTCTCTCGTATCATCGTACCTCTTGCATACGTTGGCAGAGTTTGGTAAAACAATGGCTTTATGTTCAAACTAGCTGGCTTACCCGGCTCCGCCGTATGTTCCGAATAGAAAATTCCATTTCTTTACCGATCCGGACCAAACTTGGCACACATACCCTTCGGGCCCCGGCGGGTGTCACAGTCCACTTTTCGTTATCGATCGATATCGATTTTATCGATTTTTTTTTGCAAAACTTGAGCTACGGGGCTGGGAGTTGGCACAGGGGTGTAACCGAGCATGCTGATTACGAATACAATATTAGTTTTCGAAACCGTGCATTACTTTTATCGATTTTATCGATAAAAGTAATGCACGGTGGTGATCAGCATGCTCGATTACCCCCCTGTGCCAAATCCCAGCCCCGTAGCTCAAACTTTGCAAAAAATCGATAAAATCGATAAAAGTAATGCACGGTTTCGAAAACTAATATTGTATTCGGAATCCCCATGCTCACTTACCCCCCTGTGCCAACTTCCAGCCCCGTAGCTCAAATTTTGCAAAAAATCGATAAAATCGATATCGATCGATACGAAAAGTAGCCTATGACACCCGCCGGGGCCCGAAGTGTATGTGTGCCAAGTTTGGTCCCGATCGGTTCAGAAATGGAATTTTCTATTCGGAACATACGTACACACAGACAGACATACAGACAGACAGACAGACATACAAACAGACATTCAGCTTTATATATAAGATGCTATCGTGTGAGCAGCAATTTGCAAAGAAAAAATTATGGAGGAAGTTGAAAAATTGCAAACTTAGTGTGTACAGATATGTGCTTAACTTTTCTTGTTACTGTGTTACATTACACTTCAAAAGTATTAGGTTGTCCCATAAGTCTTTTCATTTTTGAGTTTGCATTGTGACAAGTCGTGCATTTCTCATTCTGAGTAGGCACCAAGATACCATTCGATAGAGCAAAGTAAGCTTTATAAGATGGCTTTTATGCTTTACCACCAGCTTCGATCCACCTCAAGTTTGAAACCAAAATCTAAAAAGCTTCGGATGCCCAGAAAATCTAGAATTTTTAATACCTTCATTGAGAAAAGCCCTACAGATCTCTCACTCGCTCAAACGTATACACTCCGCATCAGACAATCATATGTGCTGTTGCTGTCTTTTTTTATTAGATACAAATCAAGAAACTGAAAATTTTCATGTTTTTACCAAAGTGGTGCTATGCTCTTTTTATACTAATAGCTGTATACTACGACCCCTTAGAAGTACAACCATAAATTTTCAGCTTTCTTTAAGCTCTAGTTCCTGAGAAATATCGAATTTAGCTTTCCTGACTCAGGTTTCTCATGCTTAACTCAACATTTCTCGGCAACCAGAGCTTATAGAGAGCTGGAATTTTACGGTTATACTTCTAAGGGGTCGTAGTATACAACTATTAGTATAAAAAGAGTACAGCACCATTTTGGTAAAAACATGGAAATTCGGTTTCTTGATTGGTAACTAATAAAAAAAGACAGCAACAGCACATATGAGTGTCTGATGTGGAGTGTATACGCTTGAACGAGTGAGAGATCTGTAGGGCTTTTCTGAATGAAGATATAAAAATTTTTCAGTTTTCTGGGCATCCGAAACTTTTTAGATTTTGGTTTCAAACTTGAGGTGGATCGAAGCTGATGGAAAAGCATGAACATCATCTTAAAGAGCTTGCTTTGCTCTAACGAATGGTATCCTTTGTCCGTATTCATCATTGATACCTTGAGGTAAATTTTACTTCCAGGTACTTTTATCATTCATTATCAGCGAGTACCCGTATTCACAAAGTACCTTGAGTTAAATTCTCAATGTTTTGCTGATAATGAGTAATAAAACTACCTGGAGGTAGAGTTTACCTCAAGGTATCAATGATGAATACGGCCACTGGTGTCTATTTAGAATATGAAATGTTACACTTATTTCAGCGAAAACTCAAAGATGAAAAGACTTATGGGACAACCTAATACCAAGGATTTTGATACCGTTATGGGTGGAATTCATTGTTTTGTTGCTTTAGGCAAATCGTTTAACAACAGCCAAACATAAGGTTACTCAATGTACTTTTTCCATTTTTTCTTACTCATGCGTCTAACCTCTTTCCCATTTTTAGTGTTGCGTGTCCTTATTGATCCCATTATAGGTATTTCCTTGAGCTCTTTAGGCCTCCTTTTTTAATTCTGTAGCGAACTTTGCATGTCTTCTATTATTCTGCTACATCATGTACTAGGGACTGAATAGGATATTTCGCTATGTATTCCGACAACTCATCATCTTTGTGTTTCCATCAACTCATTATCAAGACTTTGTTGTTCTTAATAAGCATTTCTAATGGTACTCAATGTTTTGCCATTGTTTTCTTAACTTATGAATAAAATCATCTTAAGAATGGCTAGTGGTTGAAGACCAAGGTAAAAAGTTTTAGAGAATGGGGTAAGCTGTCTCATCTGCCAATCTGTTGGCATTGAATACTGTAAAGATGCCACACTCTGGTGCTCTTTATCGTGAGCGATGAGAAGAAGCATAACTTTACGCAAAAAAAAAGATCCGAGTCAAAGCTTTAGATGCTACGCTCACAAGCAAATCAGGATGCTTGTAAAAGTGGATGGAGTAGTATTTAATATGAAAAGGTTTTGGAGATCCGGTACGCGGCAAACGTTGAGGGATACGTTAGCCGTGGAGCGCGCCAGCGCAATCATTGGCCTTACTGCAAGACAGCTAATGTTGGCCAAGTTTTCACATGTTTTTGTTCTCCAACATCGTTTTGATGTTTCTTGGTCGATAAAATCTCATTTTCGTCATTTTCATTTATGGAAGGCAAGTGCTTCGAAGATCTTTCATCTTTTGCTCAATCTAGTGATAACAGAACTTTGAAGAATGTAGACTTCATATTTCCCATGACTAGCTTCAAAAAAAGATGTCGGGTTTGCATTTTCGATGCGTGCAACAGATGGTTGCAACGTTTATCATTTTCAACAGTTCCGCTGACTTGAAAAATCTAGTTATCTTGGATTTTGTGAGCATGTGCGCTCTCTTTCAAACTGCTTTTTCTGTTGAACTTCAAGTACAGCTTCAATTGGTATGCGGAAGTAGATACCATAGGAATGTTGTCTTGAATACTTTCGCGTTTGCTTCCTATTACTGATGCTGAAATTTTGCAGTTGATGATTAATGCAGAATTAAGTATCGTTCAGACGTATGCAGGAAGTGTTGTTAGAAGTTAGAAGATTTTGCCTATTCATATTTTGATGCTGGTAACGCACAAACAAAAGTCTGTGCCAGTGACTTGACGGCTTGAAATGAATCCTCAAGATCAGTTCCCCTCATATACAGGATTAATCGTGATAGTGTTTTTGTATTGGCCGCAATAGGCAAGTAGGGCTCACGAAATTTTGGAAAGAGTGGAGCTTTCATTCAACCTACCGCCACTGATAGTTCCGCTGACGAAATGAGTGTGACACTGTATCGGTTCTGAAGTATTTTGTCTGTTTGTGTTCTGTTTCTGTGGTACAGAAACCACGCTTGACACTTTTCCTTGCGAGAAATATTTTGTTAAACCTTTATCTTGAAAAAGTTGAATTCAATGTCGATTTGAGTGAAGTCTAGTCTGTTCAAACGAAACCAACTCGTTTGGGGATTGTCTGCCATTTGAAGAAATCTAAATATCTGCATTGACTTTTCGCATAAATTGCTAGTGTTTTGTTGAACATAATAACCCTTAGTCCGTTCATCCTTGAGTGTAGAACTGCTAAACTTTCGAAACTTTACAGAAACGCATAGGAATTCCGTTTTTAGTGCCAATGTCAAAATATTCTCCTAACTATGAATTTGCAAGCCGTATCTATCCCTTTGTGGGCAGCCATCATGTGCTCTGCTGAATTCCGAGCAAAATTGGGTGCTACTTTTTTATTTGAAGAGTCTTCTACTAATACTAGTGGGTGATCAGTTTTATACAGCAGATAGCCAGCCAGCTCATTACCAGGAAATGTTAACGGCAAGATAATCTATTATGTTATTGCATCAGGATACCATACAAATAACTAGCAAGGAACAACTACAGAACGCAAACAACAACAGCAAAAGCAACGTAAGTACACTGAAAGAGTCACTCGATTGCGTCTGGCTTCTCAACATTTTTCCAAAGAAAGACAACTTTGGAACAAATGCTCGTTTTTGTTTTTTCCCTCCGGATCAGGCAAAAATCTACATGGGGGAAATCCCTTCGAAGTACACCTGAAACCCCCCCCCCCCCCCGGCCAACTTTAGCTGTCTTGCCAACTACGGCCAATGATTGCGCTGGCCCGCTCTACGGCTAACGTATCCCTCAACGTTTGCCGCGTACCGGATCTCAAGGTTTTGAAGCATCAAGTAGGTATTCATATTTCTTTGTGTCAAAAAGAAGATAGAGTGACCACCAAAAAGTTGCGGACAAGCACCTCTTCTTTTTTAGTGTTATTTTTAGACGGAAAACAAAGATGAAAAAATGATCTGAGTGCATTTTATGATAGAGCTCCCTAAGAGCTACAACTCCACATTACGCTTTCTCTGAAACATGCAATTTGAATAAAATTAAAGAGCTTTTTCAACAAAAAAGGCGTCCTAGGCTACGCCACCGTGCCGCGGGCAACAATTGTTCGAAAGCAAAAACTTTCCCTTTCTTTTTTGAAGCGAAAACAGAAGTAATCCGAACAGGCAAGCATACTACATATTATATAGAACTGGTCAGGAACTACATTCTGGTATGGTTACTTCTAAAAACCACAAGCTTGAATTCTATTTTATTTTCCCAGAGAAGTAAGGAACGGCACAGATAATAAAAGAACCCTGCGGTTCCCTTTATTCAGAGCCTAGGTAAAAGGGGAAAGATGAAAAATGATGAAAATAGCCGCTAAAAGAGAAAAAGTGGATTCCCCTGCAGGTACAGAAGCGCTAAGATGCGAACCTTTTTATGGGGTTGTGTTGTACAGTCCAATTGATGTGGAGTGCGACGTCGATGTTCACCCAAAAAGCGCAGAGCTAATGAAGTATTGAAGCTGGGTCATAAAGAAGCTCTTTTTGCACTCACGCTGTTTTTCAAAAACCTGCGAATACTGGTTCGCATACTTTTCCCTTGTCAGCAGTTTTATAGTGAGCTCGATACAATTATCTAGTTAAGAAATAGCAAGTCTCTCATCAGTTGGGGCTTGCATGCAAGGTATTCAGTAGACCTTTGTAGCATAAGCCGGCCTGATCGTGGTTTGATTACGCATTCCATCTTCGCGCTTATAGCAGCGCAGGTCGCCAGCTTTCGATCGGTGAGTTTCTCTCTCTAATCTAAAATTTCTTTTTGTATTTCTCTGAACATTTCTTAACGCTGTGTTTTGTAGCAAATGCTTAGTCATTTTATCTAATCCGGATAGAAAATTTCCTTTTGTGTTTTCTTTTTGCCATTTCCAACGTTACGTTCCCGGTAAGTACTCAATCACCGCGTGTTCGCGTCTTCACCCGTAATAATCGCTAACAGAATAAAAGCAGCTGGTTGGGAGAAGCTTCACAGATATCCCTTGTTAGAGGCCAATTCCACTCAAGCTGAAATCTCAGTTGTGCCGAAACGTAATGGCTCAACTGCTCTATAAGTCAGGAATAATTGCTTTGTACGGGGAACGAAGAAAGAAGGATCAGTCTGATGGGACGTATGCTAGAAAGGTTGACAATTGATGGTACGGGCATGAGAGAATAAGAGGAAAAGGTCGCGCCATCAAAATGGCAATCTTTGCGAAATATCTTGGAAACAGTTCAAGAGGAATGCCAAAGCTAAGACGGACGGATAAAGTCAAAGCAACTCGAAGTAGTTGAACACATTGAAGATTCCAAATGTAGAGAAAACTAGCTATAAGAAGAGCATCAGATCCTGCATACGGGAATACTGCAAGGATGAAGTTAGCAGAAACAGCATAAAAAATATTTTTATCCCTCCACTTATGTTGCAAAGGCTATTGAATAACAGTCAAAACTTGGCATGCCTTGGATCACTTCCTTCTCAAATAAACATCATTAAACATCATCAAAATGCAAACATAACTTTCTCAGCACATATTTATTTCTCGTATGGTTAATCATTGAAAGACTACTACGTTTTAGCCTCAAGATAATTGTCGATTGCAGTCACCATTGGGTTCACGCAACTGTGGAACATATGTTCAGCTCCCATAGTTTGCGGCAGATACAAATATATGAGAAATGCGGCCTGAATGGTGAACGTATAGCCCAGTTATTCAATGGTTAGTACAGTGCCCCTGCGGTGGCAGCGATACTAGCGTCGAAAGTTTGTGTGTTGCTTATGGAAAGCTTTTGCAAAAGAATACTAAATTAGCTTTTCACATTTGACGCCCACAGCTATTTTTTTGCGCGCATGTTATGGGCAATCGCAGATATCATGTTGATCTCAAAGGCAGCGGCTCGAGAGAATGACGACTTTAGAAAATTCATCGTTGTCGGTTTCCCTGGATAAGCTAAGTCCAAGACTGTGCTTGCAGCTTCAAAGATATCAATACCCTGGTTTTCCAGATATGAAAAGTGCTGTTTGGGCGGGTCGCGAAAATGGCTCTTGGAGCCAATTATCCAATTGCCGCTGAGAAGGGTGCGATGTCTCCACTCACGAGCCAATCGCGCTCTAGAGGGCAGGCATGCGGCGTCCGCCCAAATATCACTTTTCACGTCTGGAGAGACGGGTTATCGATATCGTTTGAAGCCTGCAAAGCACATTCTCGGATTTAGCTCATCCAGGGAACCGAGAACGATGAATATCCCAGTTGTTATTCTGCCGAGCCGGTGCCTCTAAACCGATCAAAGACTAGTTCCAGACGAAGCGAATGTTTACATGAAAGGAGTGTGAACACTTTGAGCGTATACGAGTAGCGCATGCAACCCACGCCTCTCAACAACAATGGGTGGCCGACTTGCGTTCGCACACAGTTTATCACGATAATCGTCCGCCTTCGTCCGGGACTGCACTTGAAGTACGAGTGGCTCGCTGATGTTCACACATACCTTTGCAAACCAATAGACAGGAAAGTAAGACATGATTGAGCTGGCGAAGTAGTCAACAAGGCAGAAAACGGCGAAAACACACCAGTAGGTCAACCACTGGGTGTCGTCGTGCGTGTCTTTCGTCCGCACAGCCTGAGATTGTCAAGCAGTTTTTGTTTAATTGCTTGCGTAAATCTCACTTTCACACTGGCGTAGGCCGGATAAGCGAATCCAATAAAATTGCAGACCAGTTGAGCCGCAGCACCAACAATTAGGTATAGTGATACAATTGCCATCAATAAGTATACAACCTGCAACACTGTCGATTTGAGAGAGAGACTTGCCTGCTACAATTTGACTTGATTAGGAAAAATTTTCCTCAAATTTCTTCCAGACACGTTTTTTATAGTAATGGCGCTACGACAAGTAAGATTGGCTAAATAAGCGGGTTGTGCAAACCCAATGCCGTGCTGTGCCTTGATCACACATGCGCCAGCAATTCGCTAGGGACCATAGTTCCTGACTAAGAGCTTCTCCGTTTAGTTTGTATGATTTTTCACAACGCAGACTTTTTGGGTGACAGAAACCAAAGCTGGTGAAAATTTTTGAAGTAATGTGCGCGCACTCTTCCCTACCATAACGTTGTGGGGCATTGAGAGCTCATCGTTTTCAACCGTTCGTTTTGACGCATGGCGTTAGGCAGGGCCCGCGCAATCAAACTTTACACAGCCTATGTGTTATATATTTTTGGCTTTTTCTTACGCCATAACGTCGTCGTTGGTAATTTTTTCCTCTCTAATGCTAAGTGGCTACATTTTTGCAATTTGTTTTACAGCGAGCTTTTGCAGAACCGAGATGGTGGACTAAAATTTGCTAAACCATCTCTTCACCTGAGTATAGTAATGTTATAATCAAAAAATTATCTTACAAGTAGCAGTAGTTGTAGCAATGATTTCAGTAGGAAGATGTCTAGCAAGTCGAACCAATTGCAAGGCTAGAAAAGCTCGCGCTAATATATCTACCGCGCTAATGAACATTATCATAATTAAATAAACCCACCTTTTCTCTTGGCAGAGCAATCATGCCTTCTATAGTGCCTACATTCTCATCATATGATTCACCGTGTGATGCGTACAAAAATGCGATTAGATCGGCCTAAATAAGTAAAAATAAGTCTGTAGCCTTTTTAATATGTATGTTTGTATTATTTTCCCCCAGCGTCAGGCAGGGCAAGCACGAGAGTGGCAAATGTGAAGGTAGAAATTGTTGTTTATGAAAAAGCAAAGGATTTAATCACGCGGTTATATGCACTACGTACCTCCTCCCTTTCCACTACACATAACCGCGACGAACAGTTTTTACACGATTGGTATGCTCGAACACGACGATGCTCATGACGCTAATGTTAATAGACGTTTCCGCGCACTAAGCAGTAAATAAAGATTTCATTTACATTGCATACATAATGCTAACAATTCGATACTAAAGGCAAGGAGAAGAGAAACGCGAGAAATTGTGACAAAATATGTGATTGCGTGCGGTAAGTTGTTTTTGAAAATTTCCCATTACTGAGAAACAAAAAGTGGCTTGTTCACAAAGCAACGATATGGCTTTGGTGTGTGTACTGATCTTCACAACTATTGAGAGACCAAATTTCACTCGACTGGAACAAAACGGTCAATCCTGTAATGCTTTGAGTAGAAAGACTTAACCACCAGTATCATTCACGTCGTCCCTCTGCGAAAATTCTGTAACTTTTATTGTTACGAAGAGTATTCGCCTGCTTTGTTGATCATCTTGAGCCGATAGAAGGGGGTATCAAGGACCAAACTTGACCCATGCAGGAGAACAAAGCTTCAAGAAATGGAGCTGACAAGCAATAATCAATTCATGCCATTGTGCCTGTCTCTTAGCGACGGAGGTGAGTTTGTGGTTCTTAAACCTTTGGTTGAGAGAGAATCGAACTGCAGCTGCCAGACAGAGGTGTACAGTCGATTCCATCCCGGATTAGGCGAGACATTCGGGTGTATGTCGAAAGGCGCGCATTTCGGCAGTCGTCATTGCCAGAAGGGATTTGTACTCTACAAAAGAGAGATTTCCAAACTGCTGAAGTTTTGTCATCATATCAAGAACAGTAACAGAGGATTGCTAGTTGAGCCCGAAAGTACCAAGCCAATTTTGAACTTCTTTCCTGGTTTTTCTGATTAGTGACATTCGATCAATACGCGCCATTCTACCGTCTCTCGAGACATTCTACGTGGAGCAGCGCATGCGCATCGCTGGAGGCTTCGCGAGCGCACAGCGCTGGCATTTTGCCAAGCAAAGACTATGGAAATTAAAGAGACGTAGACATGGGTTCTCAGCACGATAGGATATACTGTAGCTGCGAAACGGGGCGAGCTGTTGCGAGGCGGACTCCCGCCAATCTAATTTCCGCCTAAAGCGTGTCGAAACTTACTGTACAACTAGTGAAAAAATGTCTTTTTCGCATTTCGAACGAATTGTTTTGGAAGAAAAGCTGGACTCCAGGACAGATTTTTCAAATCAGACTAGTAACGCCTACATGCCTTGTTTTCGTAATCTCAGAACAATCAGAAGAATCTCAAAAGATGCGTTGCACTATAAGCAGCATGAAAGAGTTAGCCTATCGGCTTTCCTGATTCCTTGATATTATAGAACTTTAGCCATACCTTCGATACATAGAGCCACGTACTCTGGTGACCTTCACTTTGAGCGTTATGATAGAACACAACCTTCATCTAGAGGGAAGTCATCCGGGGCGAAGCCCCGGATATCATGGCATAATTAATGACATATCCATATAGGGAGAGATGTGAATGAGGTAAATATAGTAGTGACATCCAAAAGAAGCTCAAAAAACCGAAGTATTACGTTTTTATGGCCCTTTTTTGCCAAAAAGACTTTTATTCAAAAATTCAATGAGGAGCTGGAGCAAAATTTCTCAATTAATCTTTCTCTAGACTTCGGTTGAGCGTTGGAAGTTCATGAAAGCCGCTGGAGTTCAATAGAAACGAGAAACTGCGCTCAAATCTTGCGCAGAGAGTCGCTACTTAAATGCTGGTCTATCTCGTTATGGAGTGATTTTCAAGACCCGCGACGTTGTCAGTGCTCCTGGACGTCTCATGAGTATCACAACGATATATAATGTTACAGGGTTTCATTATGATCCCGCGGATATCAATGGCCAGAGCCAAATGCTCCGCCGGCTCTGGTCTGTCTCCGCTGCTCGTCTGCGTCTCCGCGACTTGCGCGCTACCTCGCTACCCCAAAAGCGGGGCGCGGGGCATTTGGCCTGGTACCCTTTTCTTCGTTGTTGGGAGCCCAATTTCGACAATCTATATATCATATTAAAGCTCTTGATCCCTACTTCCACGCTGACAATGTCGCAAGACTCCTTTTTATGATTTAAACGAGAAATATAGGAAAAACGGAGTTTTCGAAAACCTCTTGTTTTTTCTTCAGTTCAACTCTTTTCGTTCGGTTTTTTTTGTGTATTCGATAGGTCTTGTTTCTGTCTATGATGTAGACAACGTCGCCGAGCTTACTTCTTTGCTTATGCCGGTTTTTTTTGTGAAAATTACCAAAAAGTGCGTTTTTCTTTACCTTGTTCTTTTTCAATGCTTTTACAACGAATTTTCTCCAGCTTAGACGTTACTTGCTCAGAATGATGAGCGGAAGAATCCAGACAACGTCGCAGGATACGAAACGACCATGCGGGGGGTAAAAATTCAAAGGACGCGTCAAAAATCAGATTGGCGTCGATGTGCAGCATAACTTTTCAGACATGTTTAACATGTTCAGTTCAGTTGTTGACAAGTTTGCCTTCTTTCGGTCCGCCACAGCTAACGCTTTTTTTCAGTTAGAAAAGAACTTTGTTCCTGTTGCCACCCAATTTAACCGGCAATTCTGAAGACAAAAATGTGCATAGGAATCCACCAAGTTAAGGTTTTAAATTTGGTGATGCGTTAGCCTCTGTTTTATATGAATTTTTCAAATTTCCTGGTTCAATTCAGATCTCTAAATTTCCATCTATTTTTTCTAAAACAACCTTCACTTTTTATAGGGGGCAAGAACTCAAACAACTATCACTTTCTAGGCTCTGTCTCTTGACTATCGAAGGTATGACTTTAGCTAATTCTTGAACAAGATTCGGCCATCTTAGCCCAAGCTTTCTAAAACTTTTGTGCCAGACAAATTGCAGATGAAGGCACGCAGTCATCTACCTAATTCTATAATAGTGTACCTATTGAAGAGGCCTTACTGAATTATTGCAGTTACACAGCGGTCTGATATTAAGGTCATAACAAAGCCCGTATTTGGTTTATATATTACGCTTAAGTCACACTGAAAGTCAGGTCTAAACATGAGCTAGAGGCTGGTACACCCGTATTGGTGATATTTTTGTGCAAAGTAGAGCAAACGTGCTATCAAAAGTCCGCTGATGCACCGCCGTACATCTAAAACTGCTGCATTGACACATCATCACTGTTGAAGATGGACGATTGTTTCAAGAGACTCAACAGTCAAGCAACCTTAAAATAACTTATAATAACATCAGTCAAATAAGAGATACAAGCACAGCCTCAAAAAGATGTAATTTATTGAATATACTTTAGCAGCATTGAAAAGCGGTAGATGCCAGCCAAATTTGCGGTATCACTTGTATCTTACGCACTTGCATAGCATGTCCTCTTCGACGCTTTGTAAGAGTGTACTTTACAAGTAAGAATTTAGCTAGCAAAAAAACGGCAGAGTTTGATGAGTTACTTAGAAAAACCTAGAAAGTATGGAAGTAATGGGAACGATTACAAAGTAAGGTGTAGAGCACTAGAATGTCCTTGATTTTCGCACTAATTTCAAACTTAACAGCAAGAATGAACAACTTCCTTGATTTTCGCACTAATTTCAAACTTAACAGCAAGAATGAACAACTATCTGCAACTACAAACGAAGATATGCCAGAAAAAAACCCAAAATATAAATAAGGTTGGTGCGAAAGCTCTGTCGCACCACAATTTTGCTAGATAAAGGAAACCCTTTTCTTGTGATAATGCCTTCGCCGCTCTCTAATATAAGGGTAGCTCTTGATATGAAAGCAGAATAATAGAATCGCTTCAACTTCGGTCATTTTGAGTTGGGCCGCCAAAGATCCGGAAACTTGCGAAATTAAGAACCGCCCACGACGAATTTGCGAAATTTGGCAGAATGCCAAGTCGCGTGGACATTGCGATTTAGTCAATTCGCGTGAGGTATGCCTTAGACCTTACAAGGGAAGCTTGTTAGTCGAAGTGGCCTTTCTGAATGAAATGTATACCATGTTATAGGACATAAAACGCTGACTCCAAATCTGCCTTCCCTATCTGCAGAGCGCTTATGCATGGGAAGTTATGAGCGTTTTTTAAAGCCAAAAATTGAACGTGCATTTGGAAGAAATGTGTTGCTAAAATCTTATCAGCCCTCAAATAATGCAACCAAGTTTGATGTATTTTTTATTTGTGAGTATCTTTCAAATAAAGTGCTCTGATGGTTATCACAACTCCATTAAAGAGCTAAAAAAATACTATAGCTATTTTTGTCCTACTTGCACATTCAATTTTTTGCCTCAATAAGCGCTCATAACTCCTCGTCCATAAATGCTCTGCAGATAAGGAAGGCAGATTTGGAATCGCAATTTACGCCCTTTAATATGATAAAGTCCCATCTAGAAGGACCACTTCGACTAAACACGCATTCCTTGTTAGAGCAATTTGATTGCGCACTTGTTAGTAAGATTTGACCTGACAGTTTGCTACTATACTGAGGACAAGGAGGTACAAAGCAAGTGAATGTGTTCATCTTGTAAGTCTAGTCTCTTTTGTAACCTATCAGGTGAGTAGCAGTGGAATGCCATTCATGTGGGTAAAAATGAAGAGACTAACAGCGAAATTTTCGGAATTCACCATCTTAATAATTCTAGTAAACCCAACCCACCAGTCTATGCTATACTAATTGTAAGAAGAAGAAGATGCGAAGCAATTGAATGTAATAGTTCGTGATAGTTGCCGTTTTCGAACTATATAAGTAAGAAAGACTAACGAGACTGCTCATTTCGAAATTAAAGTCTATCGCGCACGTTTAGCAGCTAACCTCTAATTAGTAACAAACTTGGTAAGCAACCTTCTTTTTTCAAACTCTTTACTTTCCCTGCTGTTCCAAATGAGCAGACAAATGGATGTGTTTGACAGCTAAAAGGGTAAGTTGAAGTGATTGACTTCTTCAGAGGCCTCCGAAGACGATGTGCAACCGAAACGCCTGGCAATAGAGTGTGTCTATCACAAACTCCGGGTATATGAAGACTATCGAAATTGAACATCATCCAACAGAATATTGCTCTTCTCGTTGTTTTGAGTTTTTATGAGTGGCCACTGCTTCCTGTGCGCGAGGTCTACTTTTTATGAAAGCGATAGCCTCGCGAGTGATTCTCGGAAAACTAATAAAATATATTTTTCTTCATAAGTATTTTCAAGGAAATGCCTTATTCCTAAAGATAGCGAACTGTTAACGAGTATATTAACCATCTGAGTCCAGTACGTCGGTTTTTGCTGCCTGCCGCTCTCAAATCGGTTTTGGAAATCATCGAGTGATGATCATGACTTATAATAACGGGCTAAGGATGTTTACGTGACTTTGTGTGTGTGTGTCTGTCTGTTACGAAATTCGTGGAGCGTGTTCCAGCCAACGTTCTAAGCCCAAATTTTGTATAGCGCATGCTACCTTCGTGAAAGTCCAACATGCAAAAGCACGAGTAGATTCGTTGAGTGGATCCCTCAGAATTTGCGCGCCAAACGGGTCCACCTGGCTTCTGTACCGCAAAAGTCGGTCCGTATCACCACTTTTTGCAGAGTCGTGGATGAGTTTGGTAAGCAAATGTGCAAGCGATGGAGTTTAGCCAGAAAAGTGGTCGAAAGTTTACTACATAACGAAAACGGCGCCATAACGAATTGGTTGTGTAAATGGTCAATTTGCCAAGGTTCTAGCTAAGCGTTTGAGAAGATTTTCGCACAGAGATGTAGCTCACGGTTATCGTTACCTCTATGGCGACTACCAAGTCATGACAAACCCAGAAACCTATTCAAATTTGCGTTTGTCTTCCTGTGAAAAGTTTCATCCACTCGAAATCACCGATCTCACGTGAAAAGATTTTCTAAATGAGTGGTTGTTTACATTTTATTCGTTGTAGTCGGCATAGTGCGGTGAGTTCCACTGCCACGATTTTACGAGAATGAATAAGGCATATAGGTAGTAGAGCCAGTGCGAACCTCTGCGAAGCAGAGGTGACGCACTGGTAAACCATAAGAGAGGTGTGAAGAGCTAATCATTGTTAAGACTTTGTCTCGCAGAGAGGTGCTTGATGAAAACTGTTCAATACTAACAAATCCGCTGCTTTGAGTACTCAGAGCGTAGCCAAACGCCTCGCTCTCATAAAATGAGTAATCAATTAAGTTTCCTCGAAAAGCATATTCAGTTTCAAACTCAAATCCTGCAATTATGGACTGTCTGCTAACTCTTTTGAGAGGTAAAGGGCCGGGCATACTTCACGCGATTTCAGTCGCGACGCGACTTGGCAATTTGCCAGAAGTCTTCAGATCCAACACTGGCAAACTGCACATGCATAGTGTGTATAACTTACGTAGATTAATAAAATGCCCTATCTTCTGTACATTTAAGATGTGCCTACAGTGAGCTATAGACGCTTGGAATATTGCCAAATCGCGTCGCGACTAAAATCGCGTGAAGTATGCCCGGTACTTAAGACAACATGCTCAGTCACAATTTGCGAGGAGTTCGAAGTCTCACGCAACATCCACAAACGTAGAAATTCTAATCTAAATCTGATGAGGCGAGCCTGCAAATCCTCAATTTTGAAATTGACAGCGTCGATGGTAACTGAGCAGGACATTTGTTCTGCTTCATTGCTAACAAATAATTCTTTGCAGAATGTTTTTACTTCAGTTCAGAAGCTTCGGCATTGATTAGATCGCACAGAGTTCTTCACTCTTTCCTCGCTTATCTATCTAGTGAGAAGTTACCTCAATCAAGTCTAGCACTTACGTGTGCTTTCTCAATTCCGCTGCTAGGCTGCTTTTTAGAAGTTGCCGGAGTTTTTCTTGCGATCAGATCCGAAGGATTGCGTCTGGACATAACTAAGAATGAAACAAACCGCCGATCATAAGCTATGAGATGCATAAGCCAACATGTTTGTCAGTTATCATTCATTCATAAACTATTCATGCAGAGTTGTAGAGCTACATTGAATCTTTGTTGTATCCATCATTCGTTTTTTCCCACTGAGACCTTCCCAGTAATGCTCTTTTGGTCATACCTTAGACTGCAAGTTATATTCTTACCAGTGCGTCACCTCTGCTTCGCAGAGGCTCGCACCGGCTCTACTATTTATGTGCCTTACTCATCCTCGTAAAATCGTGGCACTGGAACTCACCGCGCTATGCCGACCACCACGGATAAAATGTAAACAACCATTCATTTAGAAAGTCTTTTCACATGAGATCGGTGATTTCGCGTGGATGAAACTTTTCGCAGGAAGACAAACGCAAATTTGAATAGGTTTCTGGATTTGTCATGGCTTGGTAGTCGCCATAAACGTAACAGTAACCGTGAGCTACATTTCTGTGCGAAAATCTTCTCAAGCGCTTAGCTAGAACCTTGGCAAATTGACCATTTACACAACCAATTCTTTTGGCGCCGTTTTCGTTATGCAGTGAACTTTCGACCACTTTTCGGGCTAAACTCCATCGCTTGCACAGTTGCCTACCAAACTCGTCCACGACTCTGCAAAAAGTGGTGATACGGACCGAATTTTGCGGTAAAGAAGCCATGTGGACCCGTTTGGCGCGCAATTTCTGAGGGATCCACTCAACAAATCTGCTCGTGCTTTTGCATGTTGGATTTTCTTGCGGCTAGCATGCGCTGTGCGAAATTTGGGCCCAGGAGGTTGGCTGGAGCACGCTCTACGAATTTCGTAACAGACACACTCTCACACAGACAGACACACAAAGTCACGTAAACATCCTTAGCCCGTTATTATAAGTTATGATACAATGATCACATGTTGCCTCTTACATTGCTGTGTCATATATCTTAATGCTCTATGGATCTATGATTTATACTAACTTGTTGCCAAACTTGTTACTTTGTCATTACACAATTAAGAATGCTGACTTTATGTTTTAGTGTTTTTCTTTTGTGATGCATGAGTGCAGAAATCAAGTAAATGATTATCGTAAATGTCTGTGAACAAAGCGATTAGAGTTGGTGTTTTTTGTGGCATATAAATCCATAAGATTCGCTGGTTCTCATACATTCATAAAGGTTATAGACACGCCCTTTAATCCAAAGGGATTGGCCGCTGAAAGACGGGACTTCGATGCCTAATCAAGGCCTCGAAGCGCTTTGTTCACAGACAAAGAATAATAAGAGAGCACGCTCGCAAGAAAAGCGCAGACTGCGCCGCGGGTGCGAGCGGTCGCTTTCCAGCCGCCAATCCCGTTGAATCAAAAGGCATGTTCGATCTTTGTTTCATGGTTTTCCTACACCTTGGCGAAGCAGTCTTTTGTATTTAACACATGCACAAAAGTCCGATCTATCTTCATTTGATATTCAGCAATTTTTCGACTGCAAAGATACTGGTGACAGTGACTTTTCGGAGATGCAAATAAACCTTTCGCCTGAAGTAATTCAAATTTAAATTTCTACGGAACTCTCCGTTACAGTTACATAACTGCGTAGAAAACAGAATTGTAGTTTGAGAAAGGAGGAATGCCACTACAAGCAACTGTGTCCATAAATACATTGACATATCAAATTCAAAAGTTTGAGGTTCGGAAATGAACAGCAGCAACATGACAAGAAGGTCATCGGAGTCTCGTCTTCTGCTTTCAGAAAAAATATATCTGACCCCGCTGTTCAGAGTACTTAAGAAAGGGAGTGCAGAAGGTTTCCAAAGGTTTGAAGTTCTACAAAAGTAAACTGTAACCTATGTCCAAGCAATGTCACTTTGATTTTTCCTTTGTAGGAAGAAGAGAACTTTCAAATAGGCCATTCTATCAATGAATTTATTGTTGAATAAAAAGTTATATGCCGAATGGGAGAGGAGGAAAGATCTTTTCAAAGACCAGTGCGTCACCTCTGCTTCGCAGAGGTTCGCACTGGCTCTACTACCTATATGCCTTATTCATTCTCGTAAAATTGTGGCACTGGAACTCACCGCGCTATGCCGACTACCACGAATAAAATGTAAACAACTACTCATTTAAAAAGCTTTTTCACGTGAGATCGGTGATTTCGCGTGGATGAAACTTTTCACAGGAAGACAAACGCAAATTTGAATAGGTTTTTGAATTTGTCATGGCTTAGTAGTCGCCATAAAGGCAATGGTAATCGTGAGCTACATCTCTGTGCGAAAATCTTCTGAAATGCTTGGCTCGAACCTTGGCAAATTGACCATTTACGCAACAAAACTTTTTGGCACCGTCTTCGTTATGTAGTAAACTTTTGACCACTTTTTGGGCAAACACACCCACGACTTTGCAAAAAGTGGTGATACGGACCCAATTTTGCGGGACAGAAGCCAGGTGGATCCGTTTGGCGCGCAATTTGTGAGGGATCCACTCAACGAATCCACTCGTGCTTTTGCATGTTAGACTTTCATGAAGGGAGCATGCGCTAAGCAAAATTTGGGCTTAGAACATTGGCTGGAACACGCTCTACGAATTTCGTAACAGACGGACACACACAGACACACACACACAAAAACACGTAAACAACCCTTAGCCCGTTATTATAAGGTCTTGATAACAAAGTTTCATGATAATCTCTTTGATCATTACATATAAAAGAATCGTAAGGGGTACACTATGCATTTTTTGCAGAGAAGGACTTTTGAGCATCTTTCCCTCCTTTGAAACATCGCTGCAGGATCTTGGTATGTGCATTTGGACGGTCCTTCAGTTTCTGAGGATATAAAAGAGGCATTCACTCCAAGAATTCGTTACATTCGTTTTTGTGCTTGTTTTTTGTTTCTAGTCTCGAAACCCCTATATTCGGAAAAGAACTTTCGCGGCAAGCTTTGTCCTCGAACAAGTGTGAGAAGCAATTTAACCTCAAAATTCAGAACTGTGCTTCCTTTCAGGTATGCGTTTCTCTTTCCGGCCGCCATAAAAGCCCCTTATCTCCACTTAGAAAACCTTCCTACAAGGATGTCATAGATTTTCGTCTTTTTTCCCAGCTTCGTTCGCTTACATTGGCATTTCCAGTAGAGACCACTATCCTTGAATGTTGCCTCACTTCAGACCAATTTTATTCCCTTTTTACGAAAGATTTTCAAAATTTTAACAGCATTTTCATTTAAGAGCTTGTATTTTTCTTTCCATTGGTACCATTTTTGGCAGCCTATTTTCAATTTTTGCTGAGTTATGAGCGTTTGAATTGTTCCTTTTGTTTTACAGAAACGTCATTTGTTAGGGCCACGGTTTATACGGTAGGGGGTCAAAATCAATACTGCTAAATTTGGTCTAGGGAGTTTTCTGACTTGCTGATCGCGATTATCATACTTCTGCATTCTGGCGCCTTCTCATGGAATCACGGTGGGTATAATGTATGGGGCCGAAAATACAAGTATGCTCGAAACTTTGCCTATGGATTTGGATAACCCGCTGAACATGAATATCATACAATTTCCCAATTAGCGCCATTTTCTTAGCACGGTGGGTGTACGGTAGATGAGTCGCAGTTCCAAATTTGCTCAAAACTTTGGCTTGAAGGGTTTTCAAGGAATCTGGTTATTTTATGTTTGCTCGCGGCATCAATGCCTTGTTGTGGAAGTACGGTAACTCGTGGCGTATGGAGAGACATTTTTTCACCTATCGGGTTAACTCAAATCACCAAAATTTTCCTAAAGGCTTTATCGTGCGAAATGAGCACAATCCGCTTGACCAGCAGGACACATGATTTTCAGCCAAGTATATGATTTTTAACCTTAACCATATATCAACCGTAACTCCACGAAAAGGTCCCAAAATGCAAGGAGAGTGTGATACCTGTGATCAGCATGTAGAGTGACCCTTCTAGACCGAATTCCAACCGAACTTGAGATTTTGTCTGCCTACCGTAAACTTACCATAATTTTATAGAAGGGCCCTATAATGGAGAAAGAATGCGATAGTCGTGATCAGCATGTCGAATAACACTCCTAAGCCACGTTAGCGAAATTTTAATTCTGGCCCCCCACCATATACCCACTGTGGCCTCGACAAAGAGCTATTGAGCAAAAATGATAGTCAATGGCTTCAGGTCGAATACCTCCCCCTCCCCTTCCCCCTAGACCAAGTTTGAGCAGGATCACTTCGAAACTTGGGGCAATGGAATAGCTCCGTTCAAACTAAGCATGGCCATCCACATCAGAGTCGGGCTTGGGGCTTAAATCCGTTCAGAAATCCGAAAAACCCCGTTGTTTAGAGACTCCGTAGAAGCAACGCGGACAAGCTGTCCCTATTTACCTTAGCCTTGGTCGCCGGGTCAGACATGTCAAGATGGAAGGCGTCGCTTGGAAAGACTCGTTGAGACGCGATAAGGAAACCGATAAGCCGTTCAGCGAGCCGAAAAGCGCTTCGCGCGCCACTTTGAGCTCAATTTTCCTGAAGTAGAAGAGACTTAGTAGAACGGGACTTGGGCATTGGCCCAAGAAGGGGATTCCCTATTGAAATCTTTAAAATCCGGCATACCTCCAATACAGTGAGATGCTTTCTTTAAGCATGAAGTTTATGGAAACTTTGGTGGGAACCTGATCAATGCAGTGATTGGTAGGGGGAGGCAGAAGGGAAGGACAGAGGAATTTTGAGAAGGATACTGAATTTTGGCATTGCAAAGTGTTGAGAAGTTGTGCAGCAACCATGATTTGAGAAGATTTGAAAAAGAAGCTGTGGAATTTTGGCACGGAAAAGTTGAGGGGAACGGTGTAAACATTGTGGACGAAAATACTTTGAAGGAGGAGGAAGATACTGTGTCTTTGGCAGTAAGCTTTGAGAAAAGGGGATTTCAAAGACAGGATAGCTCTTTGAGTAGAAAGAATGGATAACATGATTATGGATTAAAGGGAAACTTAGGGCCTTTTGGCTTAGGAAATT